TGCAAAACAAGTCAAAATACAGAGCTGGGAAAGAAGGTGACAATGCAGAGCAGACAAGTAGAAAGGAAGTGGCAGTATGCAGTCCATTGCTGTCACTTTGTAAAGACCAAGATAAAACTCTCACAAGAATTTACAATACACACATCATCATTTATATATCCATTAAATAAAAAATACATTAAAAAACTTAAGAAAAGTAATTTTAAACAAAGAATCTCCAGAAGATAACTTAACTCACACTGGAAAAAAACCAAACTAAAATATGTCCAATGTTTATCTTTACTCGAGACAACAAAACACTGCTGTGAGCACTAAGATCTCACCTTTTTGACCACACAGTATCCTTGAAAGTATTATAAAATTCCACCATAAAGACACCTTTCACAAGAACCACATCCAGTTATGCACCACTGTATAGCTTAATGTGCTGACTTCAGCTCAATGGTAAGAACAAGGCAACCTGAACAAATGTGCTGTCCATAACATGACAGCTCCCCCTGCAGTTAATCCTACTTGTATATCTGTAATGCAGCTATCAGCAATGAACATTTAAAATGCGAAACAATGGAAATGCCCTCACATTTTGAGTGCAAGTACACACATGCATCCCATAACCGCTTCCGTTGTGTGAAAGCACAAGACCAATATGAAAGAATTCCAAAATGACAGTGTAAATCCAGGTAACAGACTAGAGTGTTGTCTTTGTTGTCTCCTACTGTAGTCATCAGTACTTTCCACAGAGAAAACACAGTATTAAAATGCAACTACTGGAGTGAACAGTAGCCTAGAAATGTAAAAATCCTCAACTCTAAACATTATTTTGACTAATTCCAGTAGTCTCAAGCAGTGTGTCTCTTCTTCCGTTTTTCCATCTTTACAACGGGGGAAAATATTTGCTATCCTGAAAAGAGTCTATGAAATCTTTAAGAGTGCCTCTAAAATAGGGTACTTCAGCTATACCGTAACTAATGTGTATAGTGAATATTTCAAACACAGAAGACAATGAGAGTAACACAATTACTAAGCGAATAAATTTTAGTGGACTATCTTCCCTGCAAACCTGAAAGAAAGTAAATCAATAAATCATCATAGCAAAATAGAGAAGTACAAAAATGCATTCAGAATCTGCTTCTCGGAGTCTACCAAAATAACCCACCTGTTGAAGTATTTGCCATATCATACAGGTGGTATCTCTGGAGCCTGAAATTAAATGAATTCCACAGTAGTCTATTGCCAAGCAGGTCACAATATCTAGGATAAAGGAAAGAAAACAAGTTATCACATAGGTATTTAAGACTAATTTCCCACAGACTGACAATGTGCATGCAATATGTCAACAACGTCTCCTGATTTGCAGTCAACATGAAATGCTCCACTGTGAGTGATAAGGGCTGATGAGACTGTATCAAACAATGAAGTCATTGTACAGCCAGGTGTACAAACCTGACTTATCAGCTCTACTACCTGAAAACAGCACTCAAGCCTTATTCTGAAACTACATTAAATCATCACTACAATGACTAAAAAGCCATGCTCAGGTATTCAAGCATAATCACTATTTAAGTATTCTTCTGTTCTTATGCTGCCACTCCTTTGTAATTGCTATGCTTGTCGGCCCAAGTGCACTGGCTACAATTCTTTCCAAAAAGACCAAATAGCAAGGTACAATACACAAGACCTTTCATTTCACAATATTAAAGAGTTACTAACCCATGTGCCTGATGTGCTGTCCAATCAGCTTGCCTTTTGTAAGAGATGTCACTCTGATGCTATTGTCCCAGTGTCCTCCACTAAAGAGCAGTTTTGCATCATGGGATACTGCAAATAACTTAGAGGTGATCTCCAGTCCCGGAGCAAAAGGACCACTCATGTTGCGTTGTGTTCTGTAGGCAAATGATGAGCAGTTAAGAGTAGCCTCAGTTCAAATTAATGTATTTTGCACTTCCTATAGCCTTAAAAATTAAGAAATTCCATCGGTAGAAGAGGCTATGTTTAAGATAAAAAGGAAAAAAACGAAAAAAGTTAAATTCTGGCCCCCTGATATCCACGGCAAAACTCTCACTGCCATTAGCAAGATTTCACCTTAGATCTTTTCAGTCTTCTATGCAATTTGATTCTGTACTGATAACTCATGTTCCTACAAAATATTGCAATATTAAAGAAAAAAAGAGAATCTTCTAAAAAAGAAAAAAAAAGAAACAAAACCACCACATATACCTGCACTATAGTGTGAGAAAGTATAAAGACTGCCCATCTCCAATTCCCACATGAGTTGTCCTGATTGACAATCAGGAAAAAAACAAAGCAGAAGTAGCTCGAAGAATGGAGAAGCTTGAAATGCCCCTTACTTATCAGTATTACAGATTAGAGGTAATATGACTGAACATGAGAAGATGCATTTTTAGGCAAAAATTCAGCCAATGAAAACAGCAGAACTCACTGATTGTTGAACAATTACTGTATTTCATTACTGTAGATGCAGTCATCTGCACCACAACACATCATTTGCTTACTTGGGATTTGTCACTGTGGTATCTCTGATGAATGTAAAATAGTTGGAGATATTTCTGTCATAAGGTAGCCAACCATGAGTTCCAATAATGCAGTTCAGACTTGCTGTTACCTAAAAAAAGGTTGATATAAAAAAAAATAAGTGAAACCCAGAGGCATATTTTCTGATTACTATTGATGGTAATGGAGCTTGCCTAAACTCTACTGCAGTCTTCTTGAGCATTTACCATAAAGAAAAAAAGCACACACACTTCTCACCCTACAAATTAAAAACAAACAAAAAAATTCATCTCACATGAGTTAATCCACATGTAGTACATATTGCCAAGTTAGATTAGTGTATGTTCTAGATAAGTCAGAGAATTTGAAGCGGGGAAGGGGGATTTGGGGACGAGATGAAAAACAAAAAACTCAGCCAACCAACCCCTCTCAAACACGTCATTACAATTCAGTCATTCAGTTTAAGCTGCTGCTTCTCTTCTTTGAAATAGTAATCATTAACAGTTGACCTATTATCACAAGAAGTTTAAAAAAAATGTACTAAAGTTCTATTTCTGAGAAAATAAAAAAGTAATTTAAATATTCAGTGTTATTTTAATCACATATTTAGAAAACACACAATGAGAATTTTAGATGTGTCCAAAATCCAAGTTACATATGCACATACCACATAAAGCCAGGACAGTAAGTCTGACCTAAAAAATGAGTATATTCAAAAAGAATATTCTCTCCTGCAAAACACAGGTATTATTGCATAGGGACCAGTATGCAGACCACACACACAGATGTAAATACAAAAACACTCTCCTCCATATATCATTCAGCCATCTGCCACAGTTATCAGCACTGTGCTGGTTTGAGCTAAATAGAACTAAT